CAAAAGAACAAGCCGCTCCATGGGTGATGTCTGTGTGAGGAATGAGCCACAAAGAAGGAGATGCCACTGTGGGGGACACCATCATGGAAATGGCACCATGGAGACATGACAGTCTGGGGGATGGGCTACTTTGCGACAGGATTACATAGTTCTTTCATCTTTGGGACAACCTCTGGCCAGGTTATCTCTGTAAGACTGTGTGCAGAGCATCACAAGACATTGGTCAGCAAGTCATCCCACAATTGCCAAGACTGTCCCCAAGTCATCTCTATCCCACCCTGGCTGGGCCAGACCCCTGCAGACTGCACCCCCAGAACCCACAGCACAGCTTGGCCTGTGTCCATCTCAGCCCACTCACTTCAACTGCCACCCACACTGCATAGGATCCTCAGATTGCAGTCCCCGGCCTTACGCCCACCCTGGTCTTCCTGGGGAATTGGAGGCCTCACTCAGCCTCCCATCAGGGCTGGTTAAAACAGGGGGAAATCATGGGTCAAGACCACATCTGATGAGAAGCTGGTGCAAGACCACTGTGGCAGAGGGAAGGTGTTCCAGGCTGTGTCATTCTCACCCTGCTTGGCAATGCTAAATGAGGAATGTGGAGTCTGCTTCCAGCAAACCAGGCCCCTGGGCCATCACCCGCACTTGCAATGACAAAGGAGCAAGATCTCTGTGAGACATCCCCTCTAGCCTCATAACCCCAGAGTGACTGCTCAGTCTTCCAGAGCATCCTGTCTCAGCAGAGAACTGTAAGGCATTGGCTCCAGGGGGCTTTGTGACACCTGAGCCCCAGGTGATGGTGTCCCAACCATTTTGTTATTTAGAGAAGTGTAAGTGAACATCTCAACTCTGTGATCAGCAGCCCATCACCGGCATAGCAGGCTCCTACAGGGCAAAGCCCCTCTCAGACTTTCTCCCAGAAGTCTGCTCTAAAGAAATGGGGGAGCTAAGTATGGGGCTTCTTTCAGGGATGGTGAAAATGTTCCAGAATCAACTGTGGTGATGGCTGCACTCCCCACTCTGACAAACCAAGTGAACCAAGCACTTCCAGAGTGAACTGAATGCTTCACTGAATTGTTGCTCATTTAAGTTGTCTTAACAAAGACTGGGGGACCCTACCTAGTGTGGTATCACTGCTGCTGGGCACACCTCCAGGACAGAGCCTCTCTGGTCTGTGCACCCTGGGGCTTGGACTCTGGCCCTGTGCTGGCTGCCCAAGGGAAAGGACAGAGGGATAGTTGGGGCTGCCAAGTTTCCCTGATAGCTGTGGTCATTGAGACCTGAGACCACTGGTCTTCAGATCAATCAGGCAGGTCCATAGTGCTTTCTTCGTGTTCTTTGCTCCTTATGGGCTTTGGGGCGGGGGGAGGGGGAAGGCTGTCACTTCCCCAGTCCTGCTTCTGACCTCCTGGAGACCCTGCTGGCACAGTAGGGGGCCAGGGCCAGAGGGAAGGAAGAGCACCCAGGGGACCCTGGATGCCAGACAACCCTCCCACTTTCCACATTCCTGCAGGGACACTCAGACAGGGCCCAAGAGGGCTACGCTATGGAGGCAGGCCCTCAGTGGCTGGGTGAGGTCCTCCTATGGCACCTGTGCAGGTGTCATTAGGTCAGAGCCAGCAGGCACACATGGGTCCATGCTGGGGGCAGCAGGCCATGCTGAGTTGAAGCAGGTGGAGAGAGGTCTATAACCAGTGTGGGCAGCTACGTCAGGCAGCAGAGCCCAGGCATGATGAGGAGGCACCCAGGCAGACAGGGCAAAGCAGTGGGAACGGGACCTTGACTACAGGTGAGACACACAGGAGAGGCCAGCGGGGCAAAGGCCAGCTTGTGGAGGGCGCCCACAAAGGGAAAGGGAGATACCTGAACAGGTCTGAGGGCCGGGGGACACCCCCCTCTGACTTGAGGGAGGGAAACAGATGCTACGTAAGTAGAGTGGCGGCCGATTTTCTGGCTATGCTGTGGTATCCAAGTTTTGGCAATGTCCCAGCGGTTTCTGTGAAGAGACTGACATTTAAATCAGCAGACTCTTAGTCAAGCAGCTAGTCCTCCTCCAGTCAGCTGAAGACCTTAAGAGAACAAGCCGGAGGCCCCCGCTGAAGAGGGAATTCTCCTGCAGTCTCCTCCTGGGCCTCTGCCCACCGACCTGTCCTGCACGTGTCAGACTTGCAAACACCCCCACAAGACAGCTCCTTAAGAAAAACTCTTCCCCCATACTAAGTCAGCCCTTCTTACCCATGGGTTCCGAATGTGTGGGTTCACCAACTGCCAATCAGAATTATTCAGAGAAAAAGAATTTTGTCTGTAGTGAGCATGTAGATGTTTCTCTTTCACTAATCCCTGAACAACGTGGTGTAACAACTGTTTACACAGCACTTATGCTATGACAGGTACTTTAAGTCACCTAGACATGATTTGCAGTGTATGAAGGATATGTGCAGGTTTTGCTATTTTACAGACGAGGCTTGAGTTTAAGTAGATTTTATGTGCCAGAATTGTGGAGCCCAGCCCCAACACCCCTGAAGGTGTCTCGTGTGTAGTTGCTTCTGTCTGAGGTCTCCTGGGCAAGAGGTTTGAGACAGCAGTGGGGTGAGCCACCCCTGCACAGGAGCCTGGCAGATCCCCAGCTGGGAGCAGATGACATCCTGGGTCGCTATGGTGCATTCCCACGGGACTGAGGAAGGGGGGGAGGGGCAGCATCACCAGCTAACAGGTGAGGTGGCACTATGGAGCACTCACCTGAAGCTGCACCCATACGCAGAATTACACCTGGACGGGGCCCCCGTTCCCCCGCAAGGCCATAGTGCTGCAGTAAGGTCTGGCAGTTCCTCAAACAATTAAACAGCACATGGTCAGCTATTCCACTCCTGGGTGTCTAGCTACCCAAGAGCAATGAAAAGCCCACACACAGACCTGCAATCCATGGACGGGCCCTGAAATGTGCCCCGCCCCATGCCGCAGTACTGTCCCACAGCAGCCCAGGGATGAGCCTTCAAAGCATGCTGGGTGGAAGGAGCCAGACCTTGAGAGCTCCTCCCAGATGACGCCACGTTCATGACAAGCGCAGAGCACAGAATCTGGACGAGAGGTTGTTGGGTAGGTGGGGTGGCACCCAAGGCGTGCCAGGTTTCTTCTGGGGTGAAAATGTTCCAGAACTGAACTGTGGTGATGTCACACAATTCTGAGACTATACTAAAAACCCACGAATTTCGCACTTTGAATGGGTGAATTGTATATGCGTGATGCTTAGTGGGAAACAAAAGCAACACTCCTGAGTGTGAGAGCTGGCAGTTTCCATTCCTCAGGGCGGGTGTCGCCATGTCGCCTCACAGAAGACACTTCCTGGATAAACAGCAATCATGGTCAAGACAACAGTGACACAAGGCAGTCACCTGAAAGGACTCTACAGACCCAGGAAATGCCACATCACACACCCTGAGGACAGTGACCAAAGAACGTGAAAACCCTGGCTCAGCTAAGAACTTTGGAAGAGCACGGCAAGCAGGGTCCTGGTGTGCAACCGCAACCAGGCATGACTACTTTTCACAAATTTCTACAGTACAGTCAGTTCCTTTACTTACCCATTTACAGCAGACCCTTGGTATTGGTGGGAATAGCACAGTATGGCTGAGCAAAAAGCACGAGCCACAGAGGTCACACTGTACCATGGATGCTTGGTTCATTTTCCCTTAATGCTGCCCAATTTCCGCTGAACAGATTTCTACTTTATCACTTGACTCAAGCACATCACGTGCCCTTTTTGGTTTGGGAGAATTGCCATAACTTCTGCCTTGCTTTTGGGGCACCACCACCACTTGCCTTTTAAGATTTTCACAAAATTAAAGGCAGGAAACACTCAGCAGATCACACGACTTAAACACAACTGATGACATCTCAGAGCAGACAGCTTCCCCCTCACCAACTGGGCTATGTAATACATGTGTAGGAATTTAAATTGTTTGTGAAATTTCTTTGGTTTTTGACCACTTTGTCAAAACCGTATGTAATAAATCCACAAATAAGGCAGGCTTCTGATTTAATTTCTGCGGTACTGGGGATGGAACACCTTTCTGCATGCTAAGGGAGCACTCCACCACCTGAGCCATGCCCCAGCCCTCTACTTTTTAAGGGTCTCACTAACTTTGCCCAAGCTGTCCTGGAATTCCTGTCCTCCTGCCTCTCCACCTCTGAGTAGCTATGACACAGGTGTGAGCCTCCTTGCACCTGGCCTGGCTTCTCTCACTTTTGCACTGACAAGATGACAAAGCATTATCCTGCAGTGTGGGAACACTGTTAAGAGCAGCAGCTTCAACCTCGAGGGACTTCAGAGTGCACAGGGAAGCACATGGGGCAGAAGTGATGCTGCTCACTCACAGCCCATCACCCTCACCTGTGTTCTTCCCACCAGCACTAACAGTGGACACACTTGTCTTTTAAAGTTGCTTTGGGCAAAGAAAACCATAACTTCCAGGAACTTTGCCACTGCCCTCCTTCCCCACGGCTTCTAACCTGTCCCCCAGTCAACCCTGGCTACCCAGAGTGCTGACCCCTAGGTGGGGGCATGTACACAGCAGCAGGGCCCTAGGACCCTGCTTCATGCTAGCCTCTGTGGAATGCCAGCAGAGGCCCCCTCCCCACCCAGATGAGTCCATTACATGTCATGGCCCTCTGCCGGGCTCTTGCCAACACGCCCTGCTGGTCCCAGGGATGCCAGGTGTCACCCTGCCCCGTCACAGAAGAAGAGGAACAGCAGCAGCCAGATTTTCCTGCCATGGACGTGTCACCATAGCAACAAGAAACCTCATGAAAACCCTATGTTCTCAGAAGGGCCCCAGACACAAGTTCATGAAGTGGAAGTAAAAGCCCAGCCGCCCACTGGAAGTACACTAGTGGCTTTTTCCAGATTTTTTTTTTCAGATATGTGTAAACAGACCTCTTTCCACAAAAATGGATAAAAGAAAGACAGGACTGTAAAACAGGTACACTGTGGGGGGGGGTACCTGTGGGAGCAGGGAGTGAATGAAGGAGATGAAGGTGAGGGAATATGGTTGCTAGAACTCACACGCATATACAAAACAGAACAATGAAACCTCCTGTAACTGCTTTACATTGGGCTGGAAGGAGGGTGTGGGAGGAGGTGGAGGGTGATCAAACAATGTACAGTGCAAGTCTACCTGTAATTGTTACAATGACTCTCCCGTAAACACTGCTCAGGAAAGTGCACCTGTCACTTCATACACAAGTGCGTCCATTCAAACATCAGAAGCTACAGTGCTTTGCTAAGGACGCATGTTTTATTTTAAAGACAGCTCACGGCCTAGGTGACCGTCCCCGACACAGGTGGAGTTGGGGGTTTGTCTGTGACAGGGTCTTTCTACACTGTGTAGCCCAGGCCAGCCTGGAACTCGTGATGCTCCTGCCTCCCAAGTGCTGGGACTATAGAGAGGCACCATGTCCGATGTGGGTGGAGTCTGATGTTTGAATTTCTCATCCAGACACTGCACACAGGTGGTGCCTGAGGAAAGTGCATTTCCTTGAAGGCTGGCTCTGAAAGAAGGTCCACCTCTTTGTCCTATCCCTGGCTTCTTCCCTACAGGAAGCTAGGAGAGTTTCAACTTGGTGCAAATGAGAAGCCAGCAGCAAGCACGACTCCCACCCATTCTGGGCCAGTGCGTCATTTCCTGTTCTCCAGGGACTGTTTCCTCTTCTTCTCTGGCTGCTGAACACCAGCCACCCTTGCTTTGCACCTGTGCAGCTGTCGAGACCTCTTCCTCCTCCTTCCATGAGCCCCTCTCTGGCCGCGGGTCTCCGCGGGTACTGTGGACCCGGCTCTCTCAACCTTCCGCCTGCTCCTCTTCCTCTCAACCCCCAAGTCTGGGTATGGACTCAAGGCCTTCTCCTTGCCTTCCCCTGCTGAAACAGCAAGGCCACGATTCATTGACCTCAACCCTGTGACTGCAGATGCCAGCACAGAGGAAAGCCACAACAGTTCCACATCCAGTGTGGATGGTGAGCTCTATGCTCAGGATACCAGGGAGGGCTGGCCTTGGAAATGAGGCATCCAGAAAGAGGATGACATTGACGTGGGGAGCGGGGCATAAACGAAGAGTGAGCAGACTAGTTTGGTGTGGGAAGGGAGGTGGCAGGAGACAACCTGGCCAGAGTGCCAACGTTTTAACTCAAGTCTCTGCACAACAGAGCTGTGATGAGGGCATCTGGCAGAGGTGCCGGAGCAGGCCAAGGTAGGCTGGTAGGAAGCAGTATGGATGAGCCTCAACACAGAAGTGACCTGGGGACCACGGAAGGGAACCCAGTGGCCCTTCGCAGGGAGGATTGCAGGATGGGGTCAGTCAGCACAGGTGGGTGACAGGGAAGGTTTTTCAACTCAACCAGGGTCAGCATGTCTTCCCCAGCATCCTGCCTAGCATGCCTACATAGCCTGCCTCCATGCAAGCAGGAAGCCCTGAGCCTGGTCATCTACAGCAGACCCAGGACAGCCTTCAGCCAGGCCGTCACACGCCAACCACACTCCTGTAGCCCACACAGGAGTGGGGAGGCTGGGGCTTGGATCAGAGATGGAAGAGGGTTAAGGAAGAGGTAGCTCAGCCAGACCATGATCCCATGGCCTCGAGGGCAGTCCTTGTGGACAGCAGGGCTTTAGACAAGCAAAGAGGAAGACCTCAAGTGGTCCCCAGGACAATGGCACTAAGCCTAGAGGGAAGCCCTGGGCAGCCATCACAGCAGACTGGGAGCAAGGGAGCGAGCACCTGCCCGTTAACCACCGCCTCCAATCCTACCTTTCTCCTGCGACTGTGATTTAAGCAAACGCTTCTTTTTCCGTTCCCTCCTCCCTTCAAGCAGCTTCTTGTAGGCTTTTTCTGGGACATCATCCTCAGGGAAGGTGCCTAAGAACCAGGCAACAGTCAGGAAGATGAAGGCAGGCTTGAGGCGTGCAGCATACAGCACCTCCACACTATGCAAAGGCGACTCTCATGCCATGTGACTTGTTTAGCAACAACCCCACAGCTGAAATCAACAGCCAAATCCGCATGTCCCAGCTCAGAACCAATGGATTCTGGGAAGTCAATTCTTACAGCATCTATGATGTCAAAAGTCTATCTCTCTAACAGGCTTATGCTGGGTAGGGCACAAGGAATTTGTGAGTAGTGGTGACGTCTGCACCTTGTCAGGTTCCTACATACTAGTCAAGCCCACCAAATGTGCAGTGTTCCTATACTTCACCCTGTTGGTTTTACCTAAAAACACTAGATGTGAGTTCATGCTGAAACATTAGGGTGGGTCTGCTGTGTGGACAGAGGATGGCCTCCCCACGCAAGAGCATGAAAGAACAAGGACAGTGACATCTTCCAGTCAGAATCAAAGTGGTACATATGCAGGTATCCAGATAAAACCCCTTCAATTAGGTTTTATGTTTGAAAACTTTTAAGAACCATCTAGGGAACTGTCCTTCAGGTCAACTACGCCTCACACTGTAAAGTGGAGCTGCTTGCCACCCAAGAGACAGGGCACCTCATAGCCTCCAGGGCTGTGATGGACACTTAGGTCTGAGAACCTCTCAGCAACCACAAGAGGAATGAGAGCTGCAGAATCTCTCAGCCCCACCTCCCTCTCCACCACAACACTGGCCTCTGCAGAGACCACTCATTTTGTGACAGGATACTTGGAACCACCCCACGCCCTTGAGGATGATCACTTCCAAGTCAATAGCCACTCGGTGCCCAGCCCAATCCTTACCTCCAGCCAGCTCCCGCAACCTGAAAGAGAAGACAGATATTGTCACCAGACGAATCTGCAGATTCCAAAGGGGACTCTGGGGCCGAAGACGGACCCTGCAAAAGCTCTGTTCTCAGGTGAGACACCTTCCTATGTGAGTTCTGAAGAGACAGCCCCCACACACCACCTGTGTGAGGCCACTGCAGAGGATAACAGTGCAAAGCAAAGGCAGTTAGGGCTAAGACAGCAGGCAGCTCCAAGGACAGTAAGGACAAGGCACCTTCAGACACTCACTTCTGGATCACTTTGTAGAGACGCTTCCTGTTCTGAGAAGGAGTGCTCTCACCACTGGCCAGCTCGAACAATCTGTTAGCAACTGCCTCATAGTCAAACTGTTTCAAAGAGATGTCAGTGAAGTAAGTCAGTTACTTCCACATGGTCTGAGAACTCAAAGCCCAGCAGGGTGGCAGGCCTTGGTTCTGCTCAGCCACTAGAACACACCAAATGCCGTTCCAGGCCTCCCTGGCTGATGCTCGGCAGGCTCCCCACCTGCTAGGAGGTAGCATGGCCAAACAGAAGCTACAGTAAGGCTGATGTAGTAGGCCAAGCAGTGGAAAAGCACCTGCCTAGCATCATGAAGTAAAGAGTTCAAACCCAAGTGCTGCCAAAAAAAAAAAAAAAAAAAAAAAAAGAAGCGTACAGTCTGTGGCCACACCACCCTGATGTTGCCTGACCTCATTAGTAACAGCAAGCGCTATGTGGGCAGCTCACCTGTACCTTTAGAACCCCAGTAGCCACAAGCAGACAGGGAAGGAAGAAAACAAGTGAATGTAATCTGATGCCCAGTATTTCATTAACTTGATAAGCAGTCAATATTAAAATCTTATTAATACCTTACTTTTCCAATTTCCCCCACATCACTGATCCCATGTGCTGAGCTGATTCCGAGGTAGAACCCAAATGCTGACCACTCAGCGTGTCACCTCTTTGAAGCCCGGCACCTCAGTGCGGGGGGGGGGGAGCACCACCCCACCCCCTGCCAGAAGCACAAGGACTGACACAAGGTGAAGCCAGGACTGCTCAACTTCTATGCCACATCCTGCCCAGTGTACATAAGCAAGCCCGGCACTGTCCTTCCCTAGGCCAGCCTCCACAAAGGTGAGGCTCCCCATCCCCACTGCCAGCGCCTTCCTGGGATACTTTCTTCCCTCTGGAGTTGGCAGTAAGGCCAGAAGGCAAACGCCAAGTTGGCAGCCCACAGTCCCAGATGCCTACCTGGAGCACAGGGTCAGAGCTGTCCCCATCGTCCTCTGCCTGCTCCTCATCCATCTCAGGATCAGCCCTACAGAAGGAGCCTAAAATGGAAAAGACGCCAGAACTTAAAGCCCCATGCCTGGTGTGAGCAAGGGCCCAATGCCAACACTTGGGCACCGATGAGCCCTCATGCCACCCCACCTCACCCCAGTTGGAGCTGTGTGCATAGACTGGGTAAGCACAAGGCAGCTGTGAGGCATCAAGTGTACTGGGGGAGCAAGGGAAGATATCCCAGGGAGACCGGGCCTATAGCAGCCAGTGGGCACCTTAGGCAGCAAAGGTAGCATCAAAACTTCCAGAATTGGGTTGGTAGAGTGGCTCAAGGGAGGGGTGGACAGAGGGAGAGAGGGAGGGAGGGAGGGAAGGAAGGGGCTGCGGGTGACAAAAATGATAGCAGGGCCTTGGGACTGACTCTGAAGGTGGTGGCCAGTGGACCACAAGCAGGAACTGGGGGACCTGCCAGGAGTCTCTTGGAGTGGCTTGGGCTACTACAGGAGACAGTACAAAGGAGGAACAGGGAAGATATAACAGGATAGCCAGATAGTGCTGGGGGACAGGGAGGAGTCTGCCGACCCACCAGAAGGCAAAAAGGCACCCCAGAACTGGCACCAAAGGTGGAGGGGTCCTGAAATGGGAGGATGACCCAACTTTTCAGCAAAAGGACAGGATAGAGCACATAGCAACCCCTCCCCATCACCCAGTCAGACCACAGCATCAAGATTGGAAGCAGGCCAGAATGGATACCACTGCTGCCAGAGAATGTGGGCACAGGATATCTAAAGCAGTGTTAGGTCTGTCCACTCACTCCTCTCCCCAAGATTCAGTCAGGAGCTCTCTCAGCACTGAAACCCAGCTGTGATCAACACAGAGGTCCCTGTCCCCAAGGGCACACGGGCCAGGAACAAGGAACACAATGGAAAAGCAACTTATAGAAGACACCAGCAGATGGCAGAGGTGGAGAAACCCAATGTGGTAGAGCACTTGCCTAGCATGCACAAGGCCCTGGGTGCCATTCCCAGCATTGCCAAAAAAAAAAAAAAAAAAAGTCAGCAAGTCAGAGTGTCCCAAGAGTGACAGGTGGAGAGAACCAAAGAGTAAGGGTGCCTGGCAGCCCCCAGGAGCACTGCAGTCTAAGCCAGGTGTATGTCTAGGGAGCTGAACTGGGGAGGAGTCAGCACAGGGGAGTCGGGACAGTGCTGAGCACCAGGGGCCGAGACAGGCTTAGGAGAGTGGACAAGATGTATGCTGTGTGTTCAAAGGTCTTGTGGCTGTCAGGCTATACTGGATTTTGGGGAAGAGAGCAGAAACATAGGACAAAAACAATCCAGCAGAGACCAGGTGGGCTTGACCTAGGACAGGAACCAAGGGAATTGGGAAGATAACCCTGGCCCGCCAGGATCCTCACTACAGGTGGCCCCACTGGAGCTCACCTTCTGACAACTCATCATCGCCATCTGACACCTCATCCTCCGCCTTCTGCTGGTCCAGTTCATTCATCAGGTCCTCAATGGCCAACGGTGCCTGCTCCACAATCATCTCCAAGATGCTCCGGGTGATATTATGCAGAACCAAGGAACTGAAGGAGCAGAGCAGAGGCCACAAAGCCCATTAGGTTGGACTCCCAGACAAGCAGCACCAACCATCACACCACCTCCCCCACCAGGATGACTAGTGGCCTCTGTGGCTCTGACATAGCCAGCAGGAGCACAGATGCCCTACAGCAGTCTCTCCAGAGGCAGGTCGGGCCCCAGCAGCCCCTGCAACTTACTCATTAGTGCAGGCAGCAATCCTGCAAAAGGGGTCAATGAGCTGCAGATTCTGGTCCGCAGTGAGCTGTGGGAAAGGAAAGAGAGGGGGCAGGTTCAGTCCTGCACACATGCACAGTGCCCAACTGGCCACCACCTGGGTGCCTTACCTCTGCAGCGCCCACTTTGCTCAGCTCCTCCAGGAAGATCTCGAGGAAGTGGCTCTTCACTCCATTGGGGGCCTCGCCGTTAGGGTGCAGGATCTCAGTGGTCAGCAGTTCCAGAAGCTGCTCAACCTGTCTGAGGAAAGAGAGCACAAGTACAGCAGCAGCCCAGCCCCAAGGCTGGCATCCCTGCTCCCTATGTTACAGGCTCTGGTGGAACCCAGAACCTTCCATGCCACCGGTGAGGACTAGTGGGCCTGGTCTATGTGGCCCAGGAGTCCTGCAGTCGTAAGTCTAGGAGGCCACAGCCAGCACCAGAACATGTGGTATGCATTTGGATCTTGGCTACAGCACATCCTGTGCAACACTCACAGGCCTTCCATGTAGAGGGGCAGATGAGATGTGAAGCTCTACCATCGTGCCAGGTAGTCCTGTTTGCTTTCCCTGAGGGGTGGATTCCACTCAGAAAGAGTCAAGTCAAAACAGACCAGAGGCAGAGAGAAAGGTGGCACCCAGGCAGTGCTGAGGGCCACAAGCCATCTGCTGTCTTCCTAGAGCCTTTCGAGTAGCACACTGTCAGTCACATATGCAAGCTGTATGAGTGTGGCTCTTCCTGACGCACAGAGTCGACGGTGTTAGAGGCCCTGAGCCCTACACAAGGGCGCACCAGAGAGCAAGCAATCTTCAGCAGTCTAAGTGTGCTTGAAACTGCTGGGGCACCAACAGTGCAGACCCTACCACCCAGCGCTGTGAGGATCTCCCCGACAACGCCAATGCATAGAAAGCATTGGCTACAGGAAATGATGCTCTACCAGGCTCAGGAAAAAGGAGGCAAAGGCAAATCGGGTGCAAAATCAGGAGAAAGATGCCCAGAAGAGGCAAGTCCCGAGCATCAGAAACAAACAAAACTGAGAGAGAAAAGCAGAACACAAGGCCCACATAAGCATCACTGCTGCCCAGGGCAAGGGGAGGGACCAAGGTTCTTCACGGTGTTCTCTCAGCCAACAACTACTTGCCATGAGACAGAATGCTTTAGGAAAGAAGGGGCTGTGCTGTGGAGGGATTCGTGTCACATTTCTCTTACAGAAAATTGTCCTAAAAGGAAGCTCATTTTGGAGCCTCATTTTGGAGTCCTGTAGGAACACATTCCAAGTGTAATTTTTTCTGAAAACCACATTTGTGCTAAGTGAAGGAGGCAGAGATATGCGCAACACTGCCATTCAACAAAGTATTTCCACTGTGAACTTGTTCCATCACATCTTCTAGGCATCACTGATGCTGGCATAAATGCCAGACAGTTTCAAAATAATTTTCCTGTTGGAATAAATTACCTCTCCATGGGCTAGGGACATCAGCTCAGTAGTATGTAGTGTGGTGTTTTACATGTATGAGACCCTAGGTTAATGCCCAGCACCACCCAGAGGGAAAAATTACTTTTAATGTTATGAAGGTTTTGAGTTCTTATACTCAACCTGTCATCAGTCAAATTAGAAAAAAACATGAAAATTATAAAATACAACATAGTTTGAATATGTTATAAATTAAAAAGGTTTAGTCTAATTTAAAACTGAAAAAATTGTTGAAAACACAAATTGCTTCACATGTGGACTTGGATTACTTTGGAAGGTCCAGGAGCCAAGCCCCAGGTCACATGAAGAGCCCCTAGGTGAACCCCCAGCAGCACTGAGGGTTCAGATCGCTAAGCCTAGGATCTCCCAGAAAGAGCAGGTACTGAAGCCAGGGGAGAGCATGACTAGCAATACCTGCAGGTCATGAGTTCCAAGGAAGCCTCAATGTTTAGACAGAAGATCACCACTTCACAGTTTGTTGGACACTGGGTCGGCCCCATGCGAACACCTGCTATGGAACAGTGAAAAGGCTGGGCCATCTGAACACTTAGAACCAGGCAAAATGACCATTGACAACAGAACGAAACACACTGTGTTTCTATAAAAAAGGATGTCCTGGCTGTCATCATGTCATACATTCAATTCTGACTTAGTAAGAGCTGACAATGACGGTAATGCGGGCAACATCGTCACAGACACAACCATTTTACTTTTTGAAAATGTCTTTCAGTGGGTGTGCTGGCTCGTGCCTGCAATCCATCTATCAGGAGCAGAAATTGAGAGGTACCTGGAGGACTAAAAGAGTTCACAAGACCCCATCTCAAATATAGCAGGGTTTGGGTGGTGCGAACGTCTGTCATCCCAGCTACTGCAAGGAACCTTTAAATAGGAAGACAGCATCCAGCTGGCCAGAAGAACAAGACCACCCCAAAATAGACAGAGAAAAAAGGGCTGGTGGAGTGACTCAAGTGAGTAAGAGTGCCTATTCTAGCAAGCGGAGGCCCTGAGTTCAAACCCAGTACAACAACAAAAGAGCCTTCATTCTAGCCAGGTGCCGTGGCCACACCCGTAATCCTAGTACTCAGGAAGCATGATCAGGAGGAATCGCAGTTCGAGCCAGTCCTGGGCAAATGTTCTGTGAGACTGGTGTCTCGAAAAACCCTTCACAAAAGTAGGCCTGGGAATCATATGATGGTGGCTTACAGGGAGGAGCAAGAAGCATGCCTCCAAAAGTAAATCTTAGAGAGATGCTGGAACATACCTTACAGGAAAAACTACCAAAGATGTGCAAAATTTGGCTTCTCCAACACTCCAGCCTGTGCAGAGCATCTTCCACTTCACATTAAACAGAGAACACAGGAGGCTCCAGCCGCTGCAAACAGTGCCAAGACCGCTTGGGAATGACGCAGACACAAGGTGAAGCTTAAGCGGTACGTTGGTACTTCCACAGACAAGCCTGGGCCAGATCAGCATAGCCCCTGGACAATCGATCCCCAACCCAGGAAAAAAGAAAAACTGAATAATAAGCAATACAACATAAAAAAAGACACGTGCAATAGAGGTGGGGTGCCTGAGCACTGAAGAAGCGGGAAGGAATCCCTCAAGAATGTATAAACAAGCCCGGGCCATAAAAGGAGGCAGCACACACTCCAAGCATCCAAGAGTGGGAAGCTTGTAAAAGTGCAGAGGGAGGAAAACTCCAAGGAGAGGGGAAAAGACCCACTCCACGTGAGCGTAAAATTAGAACAACCAGGCCGGAGAAGGCAGGAGCAGCGGCACATGCCCAGAAACCAGGAGCAGGAAGGCTTGTGAAAGTGGCGGTGGGAGGAAAACTCCACAGGAAATGGAGGAAGACCACTTCCCAGTGAACTGTAAATAAACAGCAGGCCTGAGAAAGCAGGTGCAGTGTCACCTCCCCCAGTGTGCTTGGAAAGGGGAAAGCTTGTAGCAGAAGCTTGCAAACAGGAGAACTCTGAATAAACAAAGCCTGCAGGGCCAGGTGAGTGTTAAGCTCACCCAGAGATCTGCATAAATAACGCCTCCAGCAACAGCAGGCTGACAGCAGTGGGCCGGCAAGCCACAGCCGCAGATAGCCATTCACAGAACTGTCTCCAGACTCTTTTTTTTCTCTCTCCCCACTTTGATGAGAAAACAACCAGAACTACACTGATGCGGAAACTTACTGAAACTGTATTGCACTTGAACTTGGGACACTTTGTGGGTTTTTGTTTTGTTGGTGTGGTTTTGTTCTACTTTTGGCTTTACAGGCTTTTTCCCCTTTGAATGAGACACCACAGAACTACTTCTGAGGCACCATTTCCAGGATTGGAGGGACGAACACCAAAATTATTAAGACTGAAACTTTATTGCATTTAAACTTGGAGATTTATATACATATAATATCAACATTTCATATTTATATATATACTTTCAATTTTTATTTACTTATTTATTTTATTATTTATTATTTTTTTTTTTTTTTTTTATTTTCAATCTCTATCTTTCCAATGCCTGTTCAAACCTTTTTTGTTTGTTTGTTTTTTCTACTGTTGGTTTTTCCCTTTTCCTTTAACTTCCTTTGCCTTTCCCTCTCCTCTCACCACTTCCATTCTAAATATCACCATTTTTATTATTACAAGCTAGAAAAGACTTAATTGCACATAGTATAGGACAATAACAACACCGAAGACAATTGACGGGGAAGACAGAAAAAACAGGAAACCAGTTTCCCCCAAGCAAACAAAATTACAATAGTACAGGGAACCAGAGGGGAATGAAGAAAACAGATACTCAGATCCAGACTCCAGCAAAATGAAAGATTAAACTATGCCAAAGGACCCAATGAAGCCACAAGAATAATCTAAAAAGAAGAAAATTACAGGTAATCAGTGAGAATTTATAGAGATGATACTGGATATGGTCAACCAAAATGTACAGGAGACACTCAAGAAATTCCAAGACAACAAAAATAGAGAATTTGAAAAAGCAAAAAGGATAAATAAAGGAAAACCAGAGAGAACTGTTATAAACACCAAAGTGAAACAAAGAACACGGATTAATAAAGAGATAAATGAACTCAGGACAAAAATAGACAACATTAAAGAGGAAACCACCAGGATATGGAAAACCTCAGAAAAAAGAACGAAACAGAACTGCAAAACAAAACGGAAGGCCAATCCAGCAGAATAAGAACAAGCAGAAGACAGAATCTCAGAACTCAAAGATGAAATGGTAATTAAAGGAAAAACCGAAGAAACTCATATTTAAAACAACTCAAGACCTGTGAAAAGAAAACTGCAAAAACTCACTGACTTCATCAAAAGACGAAACCTGACAATCATGGGCATTTGAAGAAGGAGAAGAGGTGCAAGCAAAAGGAATGGAAATATATTCACAAAATAATAACAGAAAATTTCCCAAATCTAGAGAAAGCCTATTCTCATACAGATGCAAGAGGCCTCAGGACACCAAAAGAGACCAGGATCCAAAATAGAACTACCCCACTGCATATCACCATTAAAAACAACAAGTCAGAAACTAGAGAAAGAATATTGAAGGCTGTAAGAGAGAAAAACAAAAATAACATACAAAGGTAAACCATCAAAATCACAGCGACTTCTCAACAAACATTAAAAGCAAGAAGATCGTGGGGAGATCTTCCGGGGCCACTGATGAAAATAACTTCAACCCCAGGAACTCTACCCAGCAAAACTATCATTCAAAATAGATGGAGCAATAAAAGTCTTCCATGATAAGCAGAAACTAAAAGAATATGTGAACACAAAAC